AACGAATAGCGTAACGGGAAGGGGTGAATTGACAAATGCAATGAGTACTTTTAGCGCCTTAAAAAAATATAAGAGTATGCATAGTACACAATTGCAGGATTTACAAAATAGAAGAGTGTTCGTAGTATTGCTGCCTCTGTACAAGAGAGAAGCTGTATGCAATTTTTGTATATGAGAGTACTCTTCTACTACTACAGATTGTCTTATAATATATATACCTACTGTTGCATACAGCCAAAATTATAAGAGTGAGACATGGGCTGCGCTGAGTTACTGCTAAAAAAAAAAAACTATAAGAGTTTGCTGACGTATAATTGATTAGCGCACATAAAGTACTTATTGCATAACTCTGAATCGATATTAGAACTTGACTTATATATATTTGTTTCCGTTATTATTTGTTATTAGTTTTTTGTTATGTTCAGTTTTTGGTGGCATCAACTGAATTCTACGAACCTGTTGATGCATTGATATTTACCTTTGTTGAACTTTTTGCTAACGTTACGTAGGACATTTACAAACTATTAACTTGCAAATTAGCTGATCACTTTGCAAATTTAGATTTATATATACTATACTATATACTCTATATACATAWACGTATTTCGTAAACGCTGCCTCTAACCCGACAAAATTGGAACTAACATTCACTAAACTCTGATATCACTTTTGTGTCTCTCCCTCTCTCTTGCTCTCCCTCGAATCGTCACAATTGCAGCGCAGCCGCGGCTTTGGCTTCATCACATTCCAAGAACCGTGCACCGTGGACAAGGTGCTTAAGGTGCCCATTCACACGCTCGATGGCAAGAAGATCGATCCGAAGCATGCCACGCCCAAGAATCGCCCACGTCAAGCGAACAAGACCAAAAAGATATTCGTGGGCGGCGTCTCGCAGGACACCTCCGCCGAGGAGGTGAAAGCCTATTTCAGTCAATTCGGTGCCGTCGAGGAGACGGTCATGCTGATGGATCAGCAGACGAAACGCCATCGCGGCTTTGGCTTTGTCACCTTCGAGAACGAGGACGTGGTGGATCGCGTCTGCGAGATTCACTTCCATACCATCAAGAACAAGAAGGTCGAGTGCAAGAAGGCCCAACCCAAAGAGGCAGTTACACCCGCCGCCCAGCTGCTCCAGAAGCGCATCATGCTGGGCACTCTGGGCGTGCAGTTGCCCGCCGCACCTGGCCAATTGTTGGGCGCACGCAGCGCCGCAGGCGTGGCCGCTGCCATGAATCCCTTGGCCATGCTACAGACACCCACACAGCTGCTGCAATCGCCGGCCGCAGCRGCCGCCGCCCAGCAAGCGGCGCTCATATCACAGAATCCGTTTCAAGTACAAAAYGCAGCCGCCGCTGCCACCATGGCAGCCAATCAGAGCAACTTTGGCAAGCTGCTAGCCACATATCCACAGACAGCGCTGCACAGCGTCAGGTAAGTCAGTCGGCACATATGGAGATCGAGCTTAAGTAATCACATTATACCTTTCTTCTCGTCTGCAGATATGCTCCCTATACCATACCCGCCAGCGCCGCCACTGCCAACGCCGCATTGATGCAGGCCCACCAGGCCCAGAACGTGGCTGCTATGTCCGCCCATCAGCAGCAGCAGTCACACAATGCAGCGCATGCACATGCCGCTGTCGCCGCCGCCGCCGGCCTGCATCAGCAGCATTCGCACCATCACCAACAGCAGCAGCAGCAGCAGCAGCAACAACAACAGCATCATCACAATGCAGCCGTTGCGGCAGCCGCCGCCGCCTCCAATAATGCTGCCACACAGGTCCATTCGGCGGCTGCTGCCGCCGCCTTGGC